GTCGTCTTGCACCGTTAACTTACTGAACGCGGAAGACGACGAACAGCCCTCCATGGCCCAGTACGTCGGGATATGTTGTCTCGTGAAAGTCCGTTGCTCTCCGTCTCGCGCATGTGCAGTTCGTCGTCTTGCACCGTTAACTTACTAAACGCGGAAGACGACGAACAGCCCTCCATGGCCCACTACTCACAGCATGCAGGCCTGTCTTCTATCGAAGACTGGGGGTACTCGGAGACCCACAATTAGGCCCCACCTGCTGCACGTATCGGTTCGTCATCACAGGTGAYGGGACAGCAACAGCAGTGTTTCACGCATGATGGCTGCCAGTCCCAATGTCCCATTGGAGACAACGTCGGGACAAATGTCGGAGGACCGGAGGGAGATGTGCAACGGCCCCATACGATCTCTGCGTTCCTGTTCGCGGGTCCAGCATGGAGTGGGGGGCCCGTCCGTGGCCCTGACAATTCACATGTCACAGCTCCTATGACCGATGTCCCACTGCCCTTTGTTTTCACAGGTCACAGACAGTTGTCATCTCCGGTTTCGCCCGTCGAGGGGTTCCAAATCGGCTTAGGCGGAGAGGATGAGGTTGCTCTTCGGCAGCACCTGCGAATGCGTGCGATGGCCATGTCAGATGGGCTTTCTCTGTCACCGAACAAACGTGGCATGAATGGTGTTATGACCTCTCCTGCTCGCAACGACGGAAGCCGCCATGGCAGTCCCGGTCCCTCCACAGTCAGTTATGTGGATAATGACACGATGGGGTGCCGTTCGTCACACTCCCCTACAACACTTTCGCCGATTCGCCACGCGAGTTTCCCACTATCACCTGAGCCATTCCGTCGTGATGGTTCACCGCAGCCGCATAGACCACGAACCGGGTCACCGCAGTACGTCATCAACCGCATCATTCGGGACAATGAAGCCGGTGTCTCACCGGTGGACTGGCCAACCAGGACGGCGCTCCAAGGCGATGCGGTTGCAGATCCGATGGTCCCCTCGCGCACCCCTCCCCCAAGGTTTGAACACCCCGTCTCCGATCACTGCGCAGTCCACCTCGCAGCACACTCCATGCAGTGTGGAGAACTTGGTGGGCACGTCCACGGCACGGCCATCCGAAGGCCCCCCAACACGACCACCGTCAACGGAGAAGAATACGGATCGGTGGGGGGAGACCGACACGGAGTGGTTGTGCCGGTTAAGGAATGAAGTGAAGAGTCTTATGGGGGAAGAGACAAAGCCGTTGGGTTGCGCGAGGCTGAAAACAGGTTACTGGAAGGATGTGGAGCAGCGCATGAAGGGGAAGGGCTTCAACCGTAATGCTGATCAGTGCAAGAACAAGTTCAACACACTCCTTGACTACTACCGAAGATTGAAGGTGCACGAAGGTTGGGCTGGTTTGCCGAGTTACTGGGACATGAACCAAACGAGGCGGAAGAAGTACAACGTC